GGAATAAGCTGTGAGAGCCACACTACAGGAAGCTGTCAGGGTTACTGACGATTTTTTATTCTCTTTGGAGAAGAAGAAAACACAGGCTTCTGTCCTCAGTGGATTCTGTGATTTGTGAAGCACTGAAAGAGATCAGATTTCTGCAGAAAAGGAATATCCAGTGGGTAACTATTTGTGCCAATTCCAGTTCAAACATAAGCCTTTCTTATACAAATAGTTCATGGCAGAGCAAGAGGTATTAAGAGGGATGTGAGCTGTAACCAGAGTGGAGGGAATGCTAATATTTTGTCCGGACTGGGGTTTGGGAGGTGGGTTTATTACTGTTTAGAATAAGAATCGAGAAATTCTGGAACAGTGCTGTGCTTTATTTTTGTTCTGTTGTGAAATTCCATCCTTACAGCTCTGGCCATGCAGGAAAACCATTTTCTTTCCCAGATGGGCTAGACTCTGTGTTTTATGCGCTACCCCACATCGTGGGCACTGCAAAACAGTACCCATCCGGGAAACAGCAGTGCAAGACTGAACTGCCCAACCCTTCACAGGCGAACTAGTGTGGGGGGAAAAGGTGGAGAGGAATTTACTACTTCTTTTTAAGTGTTGCAACCACTCTTCTCTGCCACATGGAGCACAGAGGGGGGTAGAGACATACTTCTGACCCCCCTTCTGCCCCCACCTTCCCCGCCTCCTCTCTGAAGAGTTGCTCCTGTGTTCCCTGGAGCAAAGAGGCTGTGATTCTTGGCAGACTTCATGTCAGTTACTCAGGTCAGGGGGAAGTCATTACTTCCTCCTCCCACACTGCTCAGTCTTGTTAGGTTAGGACAAGACTTTGCAAGGCATTGCCCAATATTTGCAATGTGTCTTTCCCATAAAGGAAGAAACTAAAATGTGTCATAAACCTTAAAATTACAGAAAATGACGCTGCTTGGTTGATAGGTGAAAAGGTACCAAAATATTATAAATAGGGAATTTGAATATAGTTGTGGTTATGGCTCTGATCTGGGGATGGGGAGAACTTGAATGTTCTTCTCGACCGCGCCTCAAAATTCTTTTGATTTTTGTTTAGGCTACTGAGATGCTGGGTTTTTTGCTGTTATTGCCCTCGTATTTCAATAATTACATGCCGCTTAGCTCCCTTTTTCAGTAGCTTCAAAAACCCTATGACAAAAAAAGGGCCTTTATTTTTCCAGCTGAAATGAGATTATCCACCTTGGAAGGAGAAGTGAAAAATTTGCTGTGTACTGTGTGCCTTTGTTGTAAAGCAGTCTGAGACAGTGAATAAACTCTCACTATTGTTATAAGGCTTTCTTTATCAAATACAGTTAACATTAAGACTACAACAACAGCAGTAAAACTACAAGGATCTTTTGTCACAGAAATAGCACTGGGATCTAGGCTACATGTTTAAGAGAAAAGAGAAAAATAGGTACTGAGCCTTCTATCCAAAGCCTATTTCTCTTAGATAATTACATTCCCCATTATCACCATAGAATTAAGTAATATAATAGCCTTTAATTTCTTACTACTCTAAGTAATGTGAGCCCCACGAGGAAGGACAACCACAAGAAGAGCACGCAGAAATCATCTAGGGAAACAGGCTGCCTGCTATGGAAAGGGAACTCTGCACTGGTATCATGGTCACCATGGACTCTTTCCTCTTAAAAAGGCAACCCCCATCTTATGCATTAATAAAATTTTATAAACTTGGGAATTTCATCACACACCTGCTCTATCCTTAGCAAGTAATGAAAGCCAAACAGGCTTTACAGTATGGTGGCCTAAATTCTCTCTCCCTGAAATTCCTCCTTCTATTCCCACCATCCTACAGGAAAATTCTGGGTCCTGATACAGTATCAGACAGCAGACAGCTAAGCAACCACCTAGCTGCAGAGCACCACTAGTGCCTGCTCTGAAGGAGTTAACGTCAAAATCTTGGGCTCTCAGTTTTCCCATGAGCAAGGCACTCCAAAGCCGACTCATGTCTAGAGTTCATTCCTGTTGATAATACTACCATACCTTTCCAAAGCTTTCAAATTCGGAGCAATTGCATGGGGACATTGCTGCATGTTGCTCACACCTTCCCATTTGGAATACTCTGTCTTTTCCAGGTTATAAAGATCGTGTGTGTTGATGTTGTTCTTAAATGCTTAGAGGAGCTGGATGCCATTTCTGATGGTATGCTATTGCAATGCCACTGCAGCAGACTGAATAAGCTTTCAATAATAAGCACTGACACTAACATAAATATTTGTGGTTATGCTTCCCATTTTTTCCTTATAGGAAACAAGTTAAAATTTTGAAATACTTCAGTGATGTGATCAGTGGACAGTAGTGGGAAAAAATTTCTCCAAAACTTGAATTGCAATCAAAATAAGGAAGGACGATCTGAAAGACCAGAAAATATTTTTGTTAATCAGGATATGGCACTTTCCAACATCTGGATGTCAAAGCAAGTGTTTTGAATTCAATACTATTAACATGTGTCACTTAAATTAATTTTTTCCTTAAGAGATGATTGGGTGGTTACAATTTTTGGCAGTGGTTTTGCAGTCTGTTGCTTACATTACCTGACCCATGGTCTGTTTGTCTTATGATGTCTGTGGGAAAACAAAACAAAACAAAACAAAACAAAAACCAGTCCCCCTCCTTCCCAGTCCCCAGTCCTGAAAATAGCTCAGGACCCAGAAAAAAGCTCTAGGACCGAGTCTCATCCTCTCAGTGAACCATTTTGACCAGGGGGTAACCTCATGGGATTTATGCTGCTTTTGTCTATGACATCTTGTAACACCAAACGAAAAAGTATCTGATTCTTCTGAATATCAAAGAGATATGATTAAACAGAATATAAGAGCCTGGGAATTTAGAAAATAAGTTTGAATAGGAGGTCAGAGAAAGATCAGGCATCAACTCTTGCTCTCTGCAAAATGATAAAACTAACAGGGAGTAGTGACTCAGCTTCCCCTGATCAAAAAGCTCCTTTCTTTGCAGTGTAAACAACTGTAGTCGTGTTCTTGAAATCCCAGACTGAAACATCAACCGATGCTGGAAAATAAGATTCTCCAGAATGCCTTCCCTATCCTAGGCATAACCTGTGGCTGATGCTTCAGGGGATTTTGTTCCTTGTGACTGGGATTCACTGTCTAAAAGAGGCTGTTGCATGAGTAGAAGGGGAAAAAGTTTTGTGTGTGGACTGTGACCTCAAGAGTGTGAAACAAATATTTTGTTTCGAATCATCCCTTAAACCATTTCAGCAGTAAATTGAGTGACCAGTATTATAAACCAAGAAAAAAAAGTAGGAAAGTGTGGCTTTGGAGGAATGAATAAAAAATGAAGCTAACAAAAAATAAGCCTTCCAAGCTAGAGCTTAGTGTCTAATTTTTGCTAAATAACTTATTTTGGAGAATAAGAGACTCTTGCTCTTGCCAGGTCCCTGCAGCTAGATTTTACAGCTACAATGAACAAGTATGCATCTGTGTAAATGGTCTTTAATTTTCTTTTTACATCATATTTACACTGCTCAGACAGTAAAACTGCTGAATGTTTTAATTAGCACTCCCATGGCTATGAAGTCGTTTGAAATTTTCAGGCGGTGTGAAAAGGCTGGCACACAAATAAAGGCTGCAGTCGCTAGATGCTCACAAAGGGGGCGAGATGTTTAAAGTGCACCAGTTGTGTTTGTTTTGGGCTCGGGACTGGCCGTAGCGTGGCCCGCCCGTGCCGAGTGACAGATTCCTCGGCCCTTACACACAGTGCTCACGGTCCCGACCCACAGTGTGGGCAGCGTACCCTGGAATGGTGCTGGGTCCGGCAGAACGGCTCTGAGGAGCAAGCACCGCTCAGCATGAGCTCGGGGTTGCAAAGTCAGGCACGGTGAGAGCTGTAGGACCATTCCTGCTCGAGGATTGTTTCGCCAGCATTCGTCACCTGCCGAAGCAGAGGTGGGGAAAGTTTCACTCTCAACGTTTTCAGAAATTCCCCGGTGAGGCTATTAAGAGGAAATCAAGTAGTTTGAATGAAATGAAAACTTTCCACGGAATCCCTGTTTTTATTAATGTAATTTTAATGTAATTTTCATAGACTTGTAGAATAAATGAGGCTGGAAAACACCTCGGGAGGTCATAGAGTCCAACCTCATTAAGAGCAGTATTTTACATGTAAATGTGGAGCTGGCAAAACCTGCTGGCTGTAGAGTATCTCCTGTCTTTGTTTATTTGTAGAACACATACAACTGTGCAAACTGTCTAACGCTGGCCTGTCAATTCATTTCAGCCACAATCCAATCCCTGGGGAGGAGAGCAGCTCCTCTGTGGTGGTTGGCCTCTGTGTTGAATCTATCAACACAGTCACTAATTACTAGAGAACTGTACCACTGGAAGAAGACTGCAAGAGATGATCTAATGTAACCGCTGTATTGAGGCAAGAATTAAGAATCTTAATGCGATGTGGGCTTGCTGTATCTGCAATGTAGACATTTGTACCCAAAGGTCAAAACTGAAACCATGGCTGGATCTGTGACTTTTTATAGTGTTCCTGGAGCTTTCATAGCTTAGATAATAATCTGACAACAACTGATTGCTCTTAGCTTGGACTCAGCATCTCCTAAAGACCAAAGCAGCAGTCTTTCACTTGGTATTGGAGAGAAAAGGGAAAATGTTGGGACACAGCAAGTAAATATGCTCGGGGACTTGAGAAAGCTGCTTAAAAGGATGAGAATTTATTAAATTCATAGGTCAGGTGGGGGCTAGAAATAGTATGGCATGAGATTAAAAAAAAAAGAGGAAAAGTGGAGGTGAAAGAAACTAAGATGACAAGTAGTGACAGAGAAAAGATTTTCCCTGTGTTTGTCAAAACAAACTAACAGATCATTAGGAGGACACAGAGGGGATTGTATTGCAGAAGGTGTTTTTCACTTCTGTGTATGAGGCGGCATTAGGGTGAGATTTGATCTGAAGAACAATAGACCAAAGAGCAAAGAAAAAACTTAGAAATCTTCTGAAGAAACACCCAGTTTCATTAAAATTACGTGTTTGGTAGTTTGGAATCTCAAATTTTAATGTAATTTCATTGTTCTATCTGAATTCTGGTTTGAGGTCAGCTTCTGGTTCTTGCCATCTTGTGGTGTGGTGCTGCACTGCGACCATCCTTCAGCTCCTCTGCAGATACAGCCACTGTAAAACAATGAGCTTTCATGAAGGTCTCACCAAAGAAAAAAAATAGACCGTTTCTTTGGTGGTTCCTTTCTATAATTTGCAGTCTTTTTGCTGGGTTTAAGGCTTCCTTTAAACTCTGTTTCTCTTTTTGTTTCCCCAGTTCTTAACAGCAGTCCATGCCATTCCCAGTCTGGAACCTGAGCCTGACAAAAAGGACCTCTGTTTCCAGCCTGATATCTTGGGCCATTTCCTGCTTGCATGGGTACAGAGTCTCCACACTCTTCTTCTTGAAGCTGTACTTGGAGTTGAAAAAACTCCAGTTCATCACAGCCTTCACTGAGGCCATTTTTAAATAGTCCTTTAATGATAGCTGTACAGCTCCTGTCCTCCTCCCTCTTTTATCCTACCCTTCCTATTCTTCCAAGGACCACACACTTTTAAGCAGGAGATACTCAGAAAGAGAGATAGCAGACCTTTGGAACCCACAGGCTTTAAAGGGAATCACTATACTGTTGCAATGCTCTTTATTGCAGCAGTCCACACACAGGAGCCAAGTCCCACAGAGTTACCACAGGTGTTTCCTATTTTTAATATTCTAAATACAGGGCATGTGTGCTGTTAGTGACATGCTATTGTGCTTCAAGGTGCTGGAAAATGATTAATGTATAAGGGTGTCTACTGCTAGCTTCTGATCCAAGTTCACTGACTTTCAGTTAACCAGTTAGAAGTCACGTCTCATGCATGTCTCGTCTCAGACGTTTCCAATCATAGTAAGAGTTGAACATTTTTGACACTAGGGTCCTCTCTCTCCCAGTTTGCCAGAATGATGACTTCATTCTGAGCTTGAAGAACTTGAAGGTCAGTCAAAAAGATGTCTAACTGGTTTACCTAAGGCTGGCTGGTTCTGGCTGTCCTCGCTACCTGATAAGCCTGGGATCCAGTGACAAAGAACCTGAGTGCAACAAGTCTGCAGAAAGGGTGTAGTCCTGTTTCACAGGATTCCAATAATGACTTTAGATTTTTTTTTCCCAGTTATATTGAGGAAAAAAAAAAATCCTCCAGTGTCTTTAGTTTTCAGACTTGGTGGGAAAAAGTACAAGAGAGGGAAAAGGAATTGATGAGTTAAACTTTAAAAAAAAGAAAAAGAAATGAATTTGTACTCACAGTTCATGTCAAAGTTTCTTTTTTTTGCTTGCTTGCTTGTTTTTTTTTTTTAAAAACCCCAATAACAATAACAACAAAACCAAACCAGAACTGAGAGACAGACGAAACTACGAATAAAGAAGTTTCTTTGCTGTAGGATTTTGATGAAATTTGTAAGTTATATTTGGATACCTGAATTTTGTGCCTCTGTGTGTATCCTTAGGAGGATTTAAGAAAGCTCTTACTGGTTGTTATTGGAGATGGAACATAAAATCATAGAATGAATCATAGAATGGTTTGTGTTAGAAGACACCTTAAAGATCATCTGGTTCCAACTCCACTGCCATGGGGAGGGACATCTTCCACCAGACCAGATTTCTCGATGTCCCATCCAGCCTGGCCTTGAACACTGTCAGAGGTGAAACATCCACAACTTGTCTGGCCAATGTGTTCCAGTGCCTCAAAATATTTTGCACTTTGCACTATCTGATATGTAAAAACCCACTTGAGTGCTAGTAGATCATCTGAGGACAATTTAACCTCATTTCACCAAAATTTTTTTGTTCACGAAATGTTTTTTTCTTGCAGCTGGTATGAATTTTAGCTTTGGTGAGTTTGTCATCCTTTTCATGAAAAAGGTTGGTAGTGAATAACAACACCATTTCTAAGCTAAAATGTACAGTGCAAAAATGAGGCACTGAAACAGCAGCTCTTTCCTGCCAGTGGCAAACACACACCATGAGCTCTGTGCTAACCAATCAGAGCCATACGGAGAGCAGAAGCTGCACAGATCAAAGTATAATGAAGAGCTAAGATTTTATGCCTGCCAAAGGGAAAGCCTGAAAAACAAAAGGACTGTGGGTTGTCTTCCATTACATCAAGAACTGTACTCAACAGCCACAAGGACTAAGAGTATCTTGCACTCTCAACCTGCCTACATACACATATAGGATGTTCAGTACTGCCCGTCTCCTTCCCACTTCCATCTATTCGGGTTTTGTCCACAGTCTCTGTAAATGTTTGCTCTAGAGAAGACTGCTCAAGCTAGGGAAAGACAAGTGTAAAGTATGGGAAATGGTGAAATAAAACCTATCCTCACTCAAATTTGCCAAAGACTCTCTACAAGACACAGCTGCTTGATAACACATGCTAGAAGTCTGGATCATAGCATACAGGCACAGACAGACACACACACACACAAAGAGAGAGAAAAGAGTGGCTACATACCAAAGTGTGAAAGAGTCAGATATAGAAAAAAGGCTAACAAAAAGGAAAATAGAAACCACGTTAAAAACTGGTTTCCTTTCAGAATTTTGACTAATATCTGGAGGCCAACAATGAGTATACCACCTTTTCACCTTGCCCAAAGTAATGAGCTCATGTTTGCAGATTGCCTAACACTTTTGTTTTCAAGCCAAAAGTATCAGATTTACACTCAAGTAACAAATTGTTACAATGTGGGAAGAGGTTATGGACAAAGTACAAATCTGTGGGATGCTTTAACCATCTACGATTGTGCTTGTTAGACCATGTAACAGAAAGGAGCTGATCCTAAGAGCCAGAGCTCCTATCAGGGGAAAGACGGAATGGTGCAGTGCCATTCCTTCCCTGATACATCAGGATATTTCATTAATGCAAAGTAACTATATATGTATTTAAAAATGCCTTCAGTTATCTCGTTTGCTTCGTGGAGTACCTCACTTTAATCATAAGTAAGCATGGTTTTGAATGTTAGGGGGAAAAATATACTGGGTGCCTTCTTCATGAGTATTTGCTTTTTCTGCTCCTTGGTTAGATGAAGCACTGAAAACAAGCTCCAGGACCCCAACTGCTGCCTTCTTTGAAGGCAGGAGCCTATGGATGCACTCATGAGTATATATGTGTTTTCCCTATTCATCCCACTTATCTACTTATCTATCTGCTTCAGTCTCCAGTTCTCTGCTAAACCTGTCAGAGTTAAATTAAAGGAGAACTTGGACTTAAATGAAGACTATCCAGTTGTTTTAAGATAGACCAGCTTTTAGTAGCTCCCATCTGATAATTCAGCATTCAGTGCCTCCGCATATCTTCAGTAACTACCTAAGAAGAAGAGTCACAATTGGGTCTCCAAGGAACAGTGAAAATTTTAAGAATATATTTTAGGTAAGAACTGTGATGTGATAATCTCTCTCCTTTTCTTCTGCCTTGGTAAGCATGGTAAGTATTTTGGAGGAAATTGAATTAATTGACTTAGCATCTGTTTCTGCAAATATTTTTTGCTATACATTTGGGTATCTTTAGAGGCACTGCTTCCCTGTGTACTGAAACTCCTTTTCCCCCCTGTTTTAATGACTGATTGGAGATGATTGCTGTAAATACATGAAAACCTGAGTCACTTTCTTCATTTTATAGTTTGAAAAATACTTCTCTAACCATGGTTCAGGAAAGTTTAAAAGATAATTAATTCTTTTTTTTTTAGTGTTTAGACACTGGAAAATATTTAAATCAGTGCTCCTTCCACTCTCTTTCTCCCCTTCAACCCCCCTTGCTCACTTTCTCTCTTGATATCTTATTGAACAGGAAAAGGGAGGAGGGAAAAATGCAGGGCTTGGAGGAAAGAATCAGAGTGATGAGGTAAAAATCCTCTTTGCATATTCTTTCCCTGTTTCCATTCCCCCAGGATCCTTGAAGGCAAAGATAAAAGTATCTCAGATGGCCAACAAAGTGTCTCTGCTTGATTTTACTGAAAGGGAGAACATGAGACAAAACAGACTTCAGTGTGGTTGCCATTTAAATTAGCTATAGAAAATTGTGATGACAGTCCGAGTTAATTAATAAATCATTATTACAATTTCATATATTAATATTCTGACTACAATGAAAAGTCTACATGTCTTGGAGAATACTGCACATGCCAAATACTGCTTTGTTATAAGTCATTCAACAGATGATTTCCTTCTGTTAACGATATTCTTCAGAAAACAATTTAATGCTTCAGAGGAAAAAATGTATAGTCTACAGTCCTGCCATAAAGAATAGAATTTGGGAAGATTTCCTGAATTTAGCTTCTTTGCTGCAGGTTCAGAAGGCTTGTTTCATTTCACAACTGAATTGGCTCAGTGACTCTTCTGAACAGTTTAAGACAGCAGTGTCTATTGTTTTTTTTTTTTTAATCTTCAGTACTATGTACTTGCCCTATGGAATTAGTGAGAGCAGCGTGATGCTCCTTATATTTGGTTAAAACCTGGTGGTAATAATGCCAAGGTCATGAGTTCAATCCTGTGTATGGGCCATTCACTTAAGAATTGGACTTGATGATCCTTGTGGGTCCCTTCCAACTGAGAATATTTTTGATTCTGTGATATTCACCTGGTGAAATACCCTCATTGTCCTGCTTTTACTGACCTTCCTCTTACAGAATCTCTACACTCTACTCTCCAGTAAAATCCCTCTGCATCTTCGTTTGGCTTCAAAGAGCTGCTTGAGGTGAGAAAGGCTTTGGATTGAGCTGGGTGTCTCCATGATAGCAATTCATTGTTATTGATGATGGATTTTGATGATGCGTGAGTCCGACACAAAAATAAGAAAAAGAAATGTATTTTTGGTCCTTTGGAAATACTTTATGTAGCTTGAAATTAAGCGTTCCAATGAATTATCAGATTCTTAAAATGTAAATAAATGAGTAAATAAATAAAATTAGTTTAAAAAATCCAGAATTAAATATTTTAGATTCTTCAAAATTCCACTTCCTGTTAATTTTGTTAAAATTGTTTATCAACAGGGACATGAATTTGAAGGGGATTTTTAATCCCCTGAAACTCAATATTTTACTACCTTTGTGTTTTGAACACTGGTGTCTTTAGAAAAGCTACTAAAAGCTGGAACATATTTTCGTGGTTCTAAGTGAGCAAAACATTTAGTAGTACAATCTTAAACCCCTCCATCTAACTGGCATTGCAAAATGTTCCACAGTGCAACATACTAAATGCTAAAAAAAAAAAAAAATTAATAATTCTTGCTTCTTGCAAACATAACTTAGCCTGTACTGTACTGCATATTGTTCTGGCTACATTGCCTCTGTATCTGACATAATTCAATTAAAGCAGTTTTGAGTATCTCCATAGTCCATCAAGAAAAAATATGTGAGGAGCAAGCTGAGATGTAATCCTCTTTTACTCCTGGAAAAATTGGAAATTCTTCCAGTGAAATTAGTACAGTAAATATAGTGTGAAGTATCTCCTCTGAGGAAAAAAACCTGGCCCAAGGTGTCTGAAATCTTTGGGTAAAGTCTCAAAGTGAAGGGCACCATATATATCTAATATTATTTGGTGAAATGCAAATATGTCACTGCAGTGGCATTCAGCACTTAGATCACAGCTCCCTATTATAATATGCCAGGAAGCACTGGAGGTAGGCAGCCCTTTCAAGAACACATTTCATCCCTAATCCTGACTCTTCCTGCCTTCTCTCTTCATTGCCTCAGCTGTTTGAGTGAGTTGTAGCCTTGACAAAGAACATGTTTGGATAATTGTTAGCTGGGTACTCTCAAATAGTTTTATAACATCAGGCTAATAAATTTACCACCACTAAGGGACTTTTGAAAACAAACATTTCTTAGGAACAGAAAAGTCTTGAGGACAAGTGATGAAATAGCTAGTATTTTCTAAGGAATCAGAAAGATAAATTCATCCAGAAATCTGTTGTTAGTGGAAAAAAAATATTCAAATTTCAGATAAACTCTTACCATATGCAGAACAAATTGAACTGCAAAGTTTTTTCATGAAAAAATAAGGCCTGTATTATAAAGCTGTGAGACTTAACAAAGAGAAATGATTCTCATTTTGATCTGTCCATAGTAAAATAGCATCACATGAGTTATTATCAGCTTTTAACTTCATCCACATGATACCTCTGGTTTTGTTCTTGCATGGCCTCTGACTGTATATACCTCACTGCCCCACTGGGAAAAAACAGAAAAAACCCACAAACTTTGTACTTTCTCAGCTGTCAGAAAATAAAATTCTTGACTTTTTGCCTTTTTTTTTTTTTTTTTGGCTCAGTGAGACCATGACTGGCTTCTGTTCTTAGCCCTGCAGAAGAGCTCTGGGGATACCCACACTCTCCTCTTTTGTATGGAAAAAAAGGCTCTATATTCAACCGCAAGAAGTTCACACGTATGATGATGATTTCATATGAAAATAACTTAAACTGTAGCACCTTCTTCATTCTCAGGTGTTATGTGTGCACAAGTGGGTTGTATGCCAATGATTTCTTTACTGAGAAGTAAACTTTAGATCATCTGTCTCCAAGAGAGAATACTGCAGATTGACAATATTAAATTTCTTTAAAAGGTGAAACCAAATACATGGGCTTATAGAAGGATTAGAAAATTATATCCCAGCTGGAAAATTTTATGGGTACAGAAAAAATAGTGTGAGTGAAATACCAGTATCATAAAATAAATAACAGGAAATATGGTAATTTATGTGATAGAGAAAATTGTCACTTTCAGAACTGCCAGAAAATCAACAGCATTTCACCCATTTGACTTCAGAAGTGAACTTAGACCTCAGAGGCTTAAAAATATATGAAGAGGAGTGAAATGAAATAAGAGCTCATGAATCCAATATGGATTTAGAAAGAAGAAAGTAGTCTGTGCTGAAAGAGTTTTATGGAAGTTGGGAATGCATGTAATCAAAATTTAACTTATTCCTGGAAAGTGATTTAAAATATGCCAGATAAATTAAATTCCATTCTGCAAGATGAACAATTAATGGGGCTCCTAATTTAGAAAGCATCTCAATTCAGAAATGGCCTTTAAGCCTGTTTAACCTTAATCATATGTGGAAAACCCACTGAATTCAGCTGGAAATTAAACACAGAAAACAAGAGAAGGTTGAGTAAGTCTACTCAGTAGTTTGCATTACTAATACTTTGTATTTCTGGAGATCCTTGAATCTCCTCAGAGGAAGATGCTTCACAAATACTGCTGACTAACCAGTACAGTTTCCATCTGACAGGCCACAGAGTTAGGGAAGGAGAAGCAGGGGTGCAAATCTCTGAGACAGCCCAAGTGCAGCTACCTCTTCCCTGTTAGAGTGGACGTGGAACAAAGAAGCCATCTCACATCAAATGACCTTGCAATGCCCAGTAATTGTTACCCACCCTTAGACCATAAGGACGATCCTACTGCTGCTAATTTCTATTTTAAGTGCAGTGGAATGCTGCGGTCATGCTGATACCGCTCTGCAGACGCTGCTGGCAAGTGATAGCATAACATTTAATGACAATTACTGCATGTATAGAAATGATACTGGCCACTGGGAAGCAGTTGTTGTAGGAATGTTGCTCCTGCTCTTGCAGTTGCTCTAAAGCCTATTAGAAACTGCATTTTCCCATTTTTATCCTGACATTTGTGTAATTTTAGCTTCTACACTTTGGCAAATACCGCCATATATTTTTGGCTCACCCCTAAGTTATCTGAAGCAGAGCAGTGTGATTCCAGGCAGAAGAAGGCAGAATTGTCTCAGAATAACAGGCAGATTTTTTTAAATGCAGTGCAAATGGTTTATACATTATTTTTTCATGAATCAGACATTTTTTTTCTAAAGGGAGACAGGGTGGAGGGAAGGAGGGCAAAATCTTTTACTTAAGTCCTCTCATAGTTCATTGCTGAATATCAGCTTATAGCGACAAGCCAATGTATGCTAGGCTTCTTGGTTATTGTGCTTTTGAAGATTAGCTGTTTTGAGTCATGAGGGTGTGTTACCTCACCCCAATTACAGAACTCCAGTAGAAATAGTAAAAACAGGCAGCATGAAGGAAGAAAGGGGAACTTTTCTAGTATTCACAGGACATTCACATGAGCTGCATGGGCAGGATGAAATCATGCAATTGCCAAGAAACAAAAGCAAGTAGAAAATTAACAACTGTGAAATAAAAGGAGTCCTACAAATGCTAGAAGATGGACGCTGACTTGCTTTTATTCTGTGACCTTTCTTTGTGTTGTACTTTCAACCGTAGAACTCTACAGACAAGATGGCACCAACTAAACCTATAAAATGAATAACTGCCAAGATAATCCAAAGAATAATGAGGTTGCAACAACTGCAAAGATGCAAAGAAAACTGATGTCAGTTATCTCTTCACAGAGCTCAGCGAGAAGGAATCAAATGCTTTGTCTTTAAAATGAATGGGTTTAAAATCTGAGATCACAGTTTGGCTTATCAGGACATGCTGATGTACAGGATTATGCAGAAGTCATATGGTTGAGTCTTTGCTTATGTTTAATTTTGTGAAATTTGTTCTGTAGCACATTGTATCACTCTTACACTGAAGGGAGAAAACTTGCCATTTGCAGAAGACTATTTGAATTAAACTTTTAAAGTAGAAGGAATGCCAGTAATAAGTCCGGCTTTCTAATAAAATAGCTCTTTGGACTTGGTTGTGACTTGTATTGAAAAACTGCAGAAGTAAGAAAAATTAGGAAATCTCCTTATTACACTGTGTGTTTTAAAACAGGCCTTGGACCTTGATTGCTGGGAGAGGACTTCTTACAGCAGATGTTCAAGAAGGTCAGGGAATGGGTGTAGGCTTGGCCCTCTGCCAACCTCTGACCATCATGGCTGACCCTAGAAAGGTCAAGAACTACCAGTATATGTTTATTTTAAAGGACCACCCTCACAGAAAAGGAAAAGAACAGCACGTGCCAGTGTCACCTCAGAGAAATATCCCCTTTGCATGTATCCCTGGGACTGCAGCACACTATTGCTGCAGTCCTAGCTGTCACAGTGTAGTCCTAATGGTTTTGTGCTGTCCCTGACTGAATATTGATGAAGATCAATCCCTACCTGTATTGCTTTGTTTCCTACTGTCAGTTTTATTTGGAGGCTTATGATACTGACTCTCATTCCAGATGCTGGAATAATGGTATTGTATGAGAACATTTGCTTTCATTTCAAGCCTAGTACTATATTCATTTGCATAATCCATAGGCTGCACCAGGTGCTGTGCCATTAAACAAGGGTATGGATCACAAACATGAAGTATCTTAAGGACAGACTGTTAGAATGATCTCTTGCAACATAAGCACATCTGCAATAACCCTGCTTCTCTTATCTTCTTTGGGAGCTCTTCTAAACATGTGCCCAACTGCTGAAGCAGACAGGAATCTGTCTTTTTATCTGTGCTTTGAAATCCCACTTCCCAGCATCCTAGCAAACTCAGTAGCTGCTGGGGAGAATTGTGTGGAACGGGTGTCTGGTCACCAGCAATGACACTGCGGGAACCACAGATAGAAAGCAGAGACTGTTGTGATGATGTGCACGCTTGAGCAGCCTGCTTGGGTTAAGATTTACTGTAACAATAGCCTTTGTCCCTCACTAGCACACTTCTTGTTTTGAGCTCGTGTGTTGCAACACAGAAAAATACGTTGAGCTGAGCATTTGTGGGAGGCATAGGGAGAGGAGTTGTCTAAAAAAGTAATTTTAAAATGTCAAAAATAAGGTATCAAATGCAATGAAATCAAATATATTATTAATATACTGACAAAAGCCCTTGCAGTTTCCACACTGATCTCACTGATTTTTTGGGCTCAACTCATAATTTTCAGTGTTTTTAAAGCTGACAGTATATATTCTTTCGTTATGTACCCTGACATTTTCTCCCCTGGGTGCTTGTACAAGAACAATTCCAATACACTGAATACAGTATCAAGCTTTTAAATATAGAGTAGAAAAGAAGGAGAGAAAGAGGAGCTAGTGAAAGTATGAACTCCTCATCAACAACGTGACCATCGCTCCTCACCAGCCTTACGTTTGAGCATTTCTTCCTCAGGTTCATGACTGGACCAGGGATGGGGAAATGACACTATCCCATCAAGAAAGTCCTGGACATATGTCTACTGTTAGACCAACACTACTTTGATTCCTAGATGATGGTTAGAAGTGGCAATAACAACAACCACAGAAAAATGGACTGGTCTATCCATACTGCCAGTCAGCAGCTTATGAACACCATACTTTCTCTCAACCTTTTTACCCCTTACTGTATTACAGCTTCACTCTGGTGGCTTAATATGTCCAGTATTCTAAAATATAGTCACAAAAAAATAACACTACTTAACAAGTTACAGCCTGAACCATGTAATCCATGGATAGCCATATGTCTGGGGAGATGACAGTTTAAGTGATGAGTTTTGTTGCATGTGTACACCATTCCTCAGGAACCTATCGCTTTGACTTAAAAGGTGCAGTGCACTTGGCTTGTTCCTCCCAACATGTGCTAATGTTCTGTGTTTTTTGCTGTAATAGATTACTTAGCAATTCGTACAAATGTTTTGGAGTCAAATTGTTTTCCCATGTTTTATATTATGAACACTTGTTTGGGTCTGGTTCTGTGAGGAATTGTGTGCTTTCAACTGCCAATTAAAACCATGCTAATGGAAGGCACGTTACACTTCACAGATGTGCAGTGCTATTGCAGGATCGGTCCCCTGGAGTAGACAGTGTGGATACTCTCTGAATGTGGAGCTAATACCAATGGCTCATTAGAGGCACTGCACCAGATTGTTGGAACACATAGGAGTAGCAATTCATTTTGTCAGGAACTGCAACGAAAAGATAGTTGTTTATTATTTATTTATTTGGCTGTGCACAGCCTAATTCCCATCTCTTAGTAACAACAAGGAAAATGTTTAGGTCTCAGCTTTTCTAGCGCTCATAAAATATGTATTTAAAACTCTGGAATGTACTCATAAGATATCGTCTTTCTCATTCACTCCTAGTTTTTAACATCCCCATATTGATGGGATAGTGTATTTTACTATTCGTTAATGTGTTATCTTTTGGTAACGTATAAGCAAAGTTTTGAACTCCCTATCATCGCTGTGTGAGCATGTGCTTGTGTATGAGCATCTTAGTGTTTGAAATGGCCGTGAACAGGACACTGTTTCCTTTCCAATACTGGCAAACATCTCCTTCCTGACTCATCCCAGGTAACGCATACGCTAGGCTACATATTTGCAGCTCACTGAAGTGTGTATCTAAAGACCAAGGCCTTTGTGCCCACTGAAAGCCTTTATAGTGCTCACTGTTCACCTAAGTAAAACATATTGCTACTAGTTATTTCCCATCTATTGAACATTTAAAGGAGACAGTTAAACTCAGACCCAAGAGAAGTAGCTATAATTCCATGTTACTCCATGTATTGGTGGCTTTTGTCCCAGGCTGATCTGGATCCAGTAATTAAGTACTCAAGAAGAAAAGTACTGTGCAATGACTTAGTTAAGTAATTTGGAAATAGCTCCATGCTGATTTGTCCTTGTTCTGGGGTAGTATTTTGAAAGTCTACACACCAAAATAAATTAGTTTTTTATTAGGTTCATGGAACTTAATCATAGAATCTACTGAGAGGGAAGGGACCCACAAGGATCATCGATTCCAACTCCTGGCCCTGTGGAGGACACCCAAAGAGTCACACCATGTGCCTGAGAGCATTGTCCAAATGCTTCTTGAACTCAGACAGGCCTGGAGCTGTGACCACTTCCCTGGGGAGCCTGTTCCAGTGTCCAACTATCCTCTGGGTGAAAAACCTTTTCCTAATATCCAACCTAAACCTCCCCTGACACAACTTCATGCCCTTTCCTTGAGTCCTGTCACTGGTCATGAGACTGAAGATGTTGGTACTTGTCCCTCCACTTCACCTTATGAGGATGCTGAAGACCAAAATGAGATCTCCCCTCAGAATCTTCCTCTTGTTTAGACCTTATATTGTCTCCAAAAGGAAAGCTGGAACGCTGGTTTTGTTTCATCATCTCTCCTTGTATAGAATCACAGAATCATTAAGGTCTAAGATCATCGAGTTCAACCATCAACCTAGCACTGCCTTGTTTACCACTAAACCACATCACCTAGTGCCCCTTCCACATGAGTTTTTGAACACTTCCAGGGATGGTGACTCCACCACTTCCTTGGGCAGTCTGTTCCGATGACTCTTTTAGTGAAGAAATTTTTCCTAATATCTTATCTAAACCTTTCCTGGCACAAGTTGAGATCATTTCTTCTCATCCTACAGCTTGTTACTAGGGAGAAGACACTGACCCCCACCTAGCTAAAACCTCCTTTCAGGCAGTTGTAGAGAGCAATGAGGTCTGAGCCTCCTTTTCTCTGGGCTAAGCATACCCAGCTCCCTCAGCTGCTCCTCATAAGACTTGTGCCCCAAGCCCCTTCACGAGCTCCACTGTCCTTCTCTGGACAAGCTCTGGCACCTCAGTGGCCTTTTTGAAATGAGAGGCCCAGAACTGGACACAGGTTTCAAGGTGTGGCCTCACCAGTGCTGAGTACAGGGGGAATATCCCTTCCCTAGTCCTGCTGGCCACATTATTGCTGATATAGGCCAGGATGCCATTGGCTTTCTGGGCCACCTGGACACACTGCTGGCTCATGTTCAGCTGTCAACCAACATCCTCAGGTCCTTTTCTGATGAGTAGCTTTCCAGGAACTCTTCCCCAGTTCTGTATGTTCCAACTCTCATCCCCATGAAACAATGAGACTTCTTTGGGTTCCTAGTTCCAGTGAAGAAACCTAAGAGCTACCTGGAGAAGCAGCTAGCTCTGTTGAAAGTAAACTTAAGTCATTATTTGAATGACTTATTGTTGGATTATGATTTTTACCCAAGAGCAAAAAGATAAGATTAAAAAAAATCAGAACAACAGCTGGCAGGTACAGTGACTTGGTTGTGGTGCCAACCTTTGCAAAAGTAATAGATAAATATGTAGCAATTCACAAAAAAAGAGTTTGAGGATGATTTTATCACGGTCGATAAATAAAAGAATGTTAAAAACTCAAAAGAGTAGTAAATAAAATGGCTAGAAGTGGATGACAATTTATCCACTATGCACTAAGTATCCCCATGCATTACTTTTTACATGAAAGCAAGTTTGACTTTGATGTAAGTAAATAGATATGCACAGATATGATTTTGGCTATGGTGTGCCACAGTGTAGCCCCTCAGCAGACTATTCCATAGATTTTTAATGCATAGGTATTATGGAAGGCCATATAGGTCATTCTTATCCTGTATTAATATGTCCCATCCTTATCCTCCAAGAAGTTTAAAGCATGATTGAATATTTTTCCCTGAAACCATGTGTCATTCTATTCTGAAGCATCTAACTCTAATCCCTTTTTCTAGGTAGGGTTAACAGTCCTATTGAACAGAGTTACTGAAATTTCATAAGAAAGGTAGCATGGAAATATTTTTAACCATTTTTTAAAAATTTCCACCCTAATTTTATAAGTCCAAGAAATGCTGGAGTTTTATCTATGTTAAGAATTATTGAAGGTTTTTACTTAAAAAAAAAATTCAAATTACTGGAAAAATTTTTCCCCTAGTTTTGGGAAGTGTTGCCAAGCGAATTTTGAGTTTTGAGTTTTAGGTGAATCATCTCATACTACCCTCCTGCCAATTCCAGAAGGAGTTTCAAAAGGAGTCTTCGTTCTGGTAGTAATGCTCTAAATATATATATATGTTAAATATACACAGACTCCCTGCGGCCATCACATATCATGTGGTTTATCCAAATCTGAAACTGACAAGCAGTAGTACGCACCTTCATATTACATTCCATTTAATGGGCGCCAGTGAACTGGACACTGTTGTGTCTGTGTCTGCTGTGGCTTTAGCTCCCACAGATAGAAGTAAACAATACCCAAGGCAAAGTCTGCAGAGACTGAGCTTCCATCCAGTCTTCTTTAATCTTCAGCCAGTTGGACAGCTTGGGAGTACTTCAAGAATCTATACTGTATGTGAAAGGGAATCCCATATCCTCGGGTTGTTTTCTTTTTTTTTTTTTCTTTTTTCCCAGTCATCACACTCTAGTCTTTGGGACATCATCCCCTTTTACTTTTTGTGTTTGTATATCTCCAGGTTTCATCAATCACTGGCACTTATATGTTTCCACATTGGGAGAATTTATGGTGAGAATTCAACATTCAGTACAAAGGGATTTCAATTAATTTGTGAATACTACAGAAGGCTAAGTTTTAGGCTCCTCTGATTATTACAGGGCTGCATAGCAAGCTGTCATCCTGTCTTTATTTCCAGCTCAGTTGCATCCCAGTGGTTGAATGCACGATCTGCTCATGTACAAAAAGCTTGCCAGAGGCAAAATATTTCCCAGCGCAGGGACTCTTTTGTCCTGTATGTTCAAGATCTTGTAATGTCCCATCTCTGGATAATGTCCAGAACTCAGCATCAATACTCATTGCAGTCAAAGTCTTTTAGCCTTTTTTTTTTTTAAGATTTCATCCAAAAACATGCCTTCTGTAACTGATATTAGATACCTAAAAAATATGGATAGCACATATGTGAGTAGAATGGCTTCTCAGACCATAATGTAGCTTCATATTTAGGCTTGAAAATGTGTGTGAGTGTATCTTTGATCTGTGGGTGGCATTATGTATCCAAATGTGCAGTACAAATATTATTTATCCTTTCAGTCAAATCATTTATGACTATCTGACTTTAAAGAAAAGCCAACAAGATTCCAGTTTAAAAACATAATATTCATAACTTCCCCCACTCCCCCCCTGCCTCAAATCGCTTTTCATTTTGCCAGACACTCATTCAAATAGATCGTTTTGGAAGTTCTAAACACCTAACAGCTAATTTGTAATACATTCAGAGTACAAAACAATATATACAAGGAACTGTCTGATCTCTGCCAGGCAACTGAAGAATTGGATTTCTTGATAAAGTTGAAGCGAAAAGAATTTGCAAATAACATTTAATAAATTATTGACTGGTTATATTAACCCTTTATATGTTGGTTGTTTAAACTACTTAAGCTAATGGTTCACATAGTTTTCTCTACAATGCAATGTATTTTTTGTCGTAAAGTTTAGTGTCCTCAAATTATTTTGCACATTATCAGACTGTTTAAGGTATTAAAGAGGATATTTAAAGTCATGAAGTGACTGACAGCTGTCTACCTCTGTAAAACAAACCTTCATTTTGTAGGGGAGGGGTTGACCGACTACCAGAGCAACTGGGGAGGGGGGTTGGAGCGGCTGGGTCAGGGCATGGGTGGGAGGCTGCAAGGAAGGTTCTGGAGGAAGCCCTGTCTGCTGGTGACTCACCTCTCAGCATTCACCTCCCAGAGACACTGATGAATGGAGTGCCAGACTGGTTTTAGGACACACAGTACAGGACTTGAGGTAACATGCTCACGACATGGATAACTGGACCCTGACTAGTAACCTTTCATATGTACCTCTTGCTTTTTTTCAGGAAAATAAGTGTCCTGATTGTGCTACATTTCATGTATTTACTTTTGTCTATCTAAGATTAGCCTATTCAAAATCACTTCTTTGGTCTGTGGAACAGCATTCAAGGTTCAGGGGTAGAGGTGCCTAAGGAGTCAGTGTAATTACACATTTTTGCTTGATCTGTACAACTAGACTGTTTCTAAAGACCTAATGGGCCTGAGCTCAGCACCACAGTTGTGCAACCACACTTGGTTTTGCAAACAGTGTAGTGGCAATTTACTCATAGGTGTATGTAGATTAGATATAGATTAGATAGATAGATAGATGCACAGAGAGATATCAAGTTGATAGAGAGAGAGGTAGAGCTAGAGGTAGAAGTAGATGCATGCATTGATACACTAGCATAGCCACAATTCAGAGCTGGGTTACTGGAGTCATTGCCCCTGTTTCTGTAGCAGGTATGCAGACATGCCTTGTGTCTGCTTAATACTGGAGCTGTTATAGCAATGAGAATCAGACCTTAAGGTTTATTAAAAACATTTACAAAACTGTACAAATAAAATCTAAAAGTCTGCAGCCAATTAATAAAGCTGTGGCTCTGCAGGAACAGTTATTACTGCAGTGCACACAAGAGACATTTCACAGTAATATAAGCAACAAAATTTGAATTTTTCTGCTGCAAAAATGAAGGCCCTTGACTAACTAGGAACCTTCAGGAACCACTGACAATATGGGCTCACAGCACGCCGTGGAGCTTTGCTGGCTATGTCTTGCAGAGTAGAGCTGGTGCACAATATACCCCTTCCTGCAACACCATAATTTGCTCTTTGGAAATTTGTTTTTATAGATTTATAAAAGTTTTAAAATTTAATTTTTTTTAACACAAATTTCTCAACATAAATACATCATGCACATTTCTTCATTTAAAAATGTCTGAAAGAGTTGTGTTAATGTGACCTCTCTTTGGTAGAATTAGACTTTGGCCCAGCATTGGTTACCTCCAGGGAAATCCATTCTGCTCAGCCCAGAAGGATTTTCAGTGCTAATGGGTGTACTTCTGAAAGTTTTCCAAGTGAGGAATTTCCAGCAATACACAGAATTTTGGCACCTTTTTTTTTTTTTTTAAAGAGAAAGAAACTGAAGAGAGGTTAAAACATTCTTGGGTCAATGAACACGACAAATCCTGTATCTTACTATGCACAAGTTTGTGTGTTCATCTCCTTGGTCAACAGTCAGTAAATCTCAGACAGTACATAAATATTGGTTAAGAAAATAACACTTTATCACTGTAAAGTTGACGCTGTATCTTAACAATGAAATTGGCTAATTGATGCCAAATGCATTTGTTAACAGGTATCTAATTTTAACTCATCTGTGTATGTATGATTTACTGCCTCATACTATTATATTCTGTTACTTAAGGCATCCTACTTTATCTGATTATCTGGCAGCAGTAATCATTTATTTCCTGAGGTATTGGAACACGACACAGACTGTTCCTGCATTGTATTAATGTGTAAAGTACACAC